CACACACACACACACACACACACACACACACACACACACATCCTTTCAGTGAACTTTTGCACTGCTTGTTCACAAATTCAGACATCCGTTCGTTCGTTCGTTCGTTTTGCTTGCTTGTGGGTTTGTTTGTTTGTTTGTTTGTGGGTGAAACTGGTTTTCTTTCTGTGATATTGAAGCGAAAAAATACTCTTATCTTTTTGGGAACTTTTGTGTGGTTGTCATTTTGTTTTTTCTTGTTTTTTGCTCACTCCCCTCCCCCCTCCTTGTCTCGCTCTCTGCAAATCCGGTTATCAGTCAATTTATTATTTTTTTCCATTTAAGTCTCGCAGTCATTTTTTATTTGCACGTCTGATTCCGTTACAGTTACAGACATCTTCACTACGCCCCCCCCCTCCGCTCCTACTCTACACACACAACACACGCACAGATACACACACAAACACATATATACACCAACCCAAGCGTTCATCAGTACCATCACACGTACGCACACCGTCCTCGTCCAGTTCAACAGTAAACATACATTCTATCCGATTTTCATTTGTTTTTTATTCCTGGATTTTATTTCTTAAACCCGTTGGTTGGTTCGTTAGTTTACACTTTTCGAATTGGTTTTCAAACCTTTGTGTCCGCTCGACACGCCCAACTCCATTAATCTGTTCACTTTTCTTGGGACGGGACCCGGGATTTTCATGTCTGTTCCGGTGCAATGCAATTTTATTGATTACTGGTGCCACTCATGTACTGGAACTTGGATCTGTTCCGTGTCCGCTCGGCACACCATGAATTTCAAAGGTGATTTTGTCGTGTACATGGCAAATGAAGCGTGAACTGAAAAGCAAGGAGGCACTGGACAGCTGTTTCGACCTGGTTGGGTCTCATCAGCAATGCGAATCCATCGACCCAACTGGGGATCGATCACATGAAACAAGTAGTCGGGTTATGAATGTTTCCTACCCCGGAGGCTAGTGCTAAGATGAGCGAAGTCTGTGACCTGCAGCAAGCTCGCAAAGATGGGTTGCGCTATATAATGTAAATGGAAAATGAAAAACGGTCTGATCAGCTGGTCAAATGGGTAGCATGCTTCTGTTCTGCTTGTGAAGTCCCGGGTCGATCCTCAGTTGAATTGATGGATTCGTGCACTGCTGATGAAACCCGACCGGGTCGAAGCAGCTGCACAGTTCGCGCTTCATTTGCCATATTCACGAAGAAATCACCTTTGAATTGGAATCAAATCCTACATTACTCACATGACACCATGAATTGATTAACTACTCGTACTCCGACGATCGAAACAGCCCGACTCGCATGATACCGGAGGTCGAGTTGATTTGTTGTAAAAAAAACAAAGAAATCTTTTACTCTAGCAAGTCCGTACTGTACTGACTTGACATGAAACAAGTTACTGAGCGAGGACTGCTCCTTTTACACAAACCTCTCAGTACCACTGCGTACAACCGACTGTCGACTGAGATCCGAAATGGGAGCGCGACCTCAGCTGTCTGACCCGCAAGACTAACGGAAGCCGCCGTCAGAGGGACGTGGGGCAGAAAGGCATAATTGAAACTTCATAGATTTGTTTCGGTTCGGACGCCAAGCGGATGGTGAAGCTGCATTCTTGAATACGAGTGAAATGGAAGCGGGTTGGGGAGATAGTTGAAGTTTAGGTCTTATCACGCTTATCTTGTCCCCATCGGATATTTGCAGTCGAATGGTTTCTGGACAAAAAACTGTCATATATAGTTCCGGGTAGGAGATAACAGATAATCTGATCTTCCGCGAATTCGATTTTTTTAGTTGTATAGGAATGTGAAATGTGCTAGGGTTTCATCAAGTATCCGCTTGAAAGATTCAATAATTAGTGCATACACGACTTGGGATGGAACGATGTCCCTTAAGGTGTGTGTTGGGCGACAGCTTGACCAGTGGCAGACGTAGATGGTTTGAATTCTGCAAGATTTGGTACACCAAAATCAAGTCTCTTCGAATTCGGCGGTACCGAGCAGAGTATAGTCCTAATGATCGTATTAATCTGTCCTTATAAGTGAGGCAGTTCAATTCCTTGATCATCTTAGTGGCAATCCAACATCTTGCGATCACGTTGTAATTATGGGCTCCAGGCTTGGATAGCCTTAATCTGTTGTACGGTCGAATGTAGATCGAAAGCAGACGTGGGAACACCAACACGGATTCGGTTGGGCAATCGCTTCGACTAAGCAAGCCAATTTCCTCACAATGGCGGACGAAGTCTTAGTGCAATTGATCGAGCAGCTTAAGTCCTCCGGAACAATTATACCTAGGTCCTTCTCAGTTTAGGTATGTGACAACTGCTGACTTCCGAGAATATACTCTTGTGCCGTGGTGATAGGAATTTACATTTATAAACATTGCATTAAATATCATTATCCGTAATTCATTGATAATCTGCATTGAGGGTTTCTTGAACTGACAGCGAGTACCCCGGTTCTGTTACCGTATTCCAGATTTTGGCGTCGTCTGCAAACTGTATTCTTTTTGGTCCTGAAACATTCGGTAGATCATTTATGATTTGTGGTTGTGTGTGTGATTGGACCGAGTACAGACCGTTGTGGAACACGGCGGGTAGCGTTGATAGAACCGGATAGGAAATCAGAGACACGAATTGATATGATCCGTTATCGGAGGAGTGCTCTAATCCAATTAGGCACGAAAGTTGGAATACCGTAACTATAGAGCTTCTATAAGAAACTTTTGTTGTTCTACCCGATCATGAGAGAAGTCTAGATAAATCACATCCACCGCATCCTCTTCGTCGGCTGTTCTGCTACATTCATCTCGAACAAAAAGCAGTTTGGTGAGGCAGGATCGCTCTTGCCTGAACCCATGCTGAGCTGTCAAAAGAATGTTGTGTCTTTCTAGGTGTCAGTAAATCTGCTACAAAATACTCCGTGACTTTCGATAACACTTGTAGTACGGTTACAGGTCGGTAGTTAGTGGGATCATTACGGCAATCACCTTCGTATATGGGTGAAATAACTCCTTGTTTTCACGATTGTAGTGGTGTTGTTTGGTCGAACTTTCGTTAGTCAAGATGTGGAGGGTGTTTCTTTACAGTCGTAGTATAAGCCCTTAGATAAGGATTATTTTAAACAAGTGGGGTCCATTGTAGGCGTTGTACTTATCGGACATCCAGTCCATAGTATGTATTCCTTGTTTGAGGGTATACTCTAGTCTGTGTGTATCCAAGCCCAAACTGTCAAACAGCAGCGTTGTTCCAAATGAGCCGGTGATCGATTGTTTGGTTCATTTGCCTCTTCTGGAAAACCTTGTCGGTTATATGGAGCTCAACAAGGAGGACATTGATCATATTCAGTGACTGGCCACACTCGCCATATCACCGCTCTGTCAAAAAACACGTGGTGCTTTGTACGGAGACCCTTTCCAAGTTTCAAACCCACCACATCCTCGAGTAGTACTTACTTTACTTTCCTACAGCTGGCTCCTTGGAAAGGATAAGCCGGCTCCAATCCTCGGTAGTGCAAGTAATCGTCCGCGATCGCTTACTCAATGAGCCTAGGTCCATCTCATTTAAAGGTTAACCATGAGTAGGTGGTCGCTCCCCTATCCGCAATATAGAGGGAGGGGGGGTGCGTTCGGTGGCATATAGATTTGCTTTTCATTACACCATTATATAAGCCCCCAAGAGATCGTGTGCAAAAAGCAAACCACTACAGATGGTGCCTAATTTTATTTTATTTCTTGCGGGCGGTTTTGGGTCGCCCATTTGGATAAAGCAGTAGGAGAAAGACAGTAAAGTTGAAGCTGACATTGTGTCATGGGTATCTGTAACCGTTTGGGTTTATTACAGATTCTTGTCAGGTGTAAGGAGAATTTGGCTAGGAACAAAGCGTGGTCCGTACCCACCTGTGTTGACCAGGGAGAGCGGCGGTTTGGAATGGACCCCTCCAGCGGTAACTGATGGTAATGTGGTCGATTTGGGTTCATCGCTGCGAGCAGGTTGGCGGTTTCCAATTAAGGCACTGTCGTTTCTTGTGCGAAAAGTTAGTGCTTGACAGGAACAATCCATGGTCCATGCAAATTTGAAGTAGGATCACGGATTGTGTTGAGTTCGTTGCTTTACCGTCATGGCTCCGAAAGTCGGATCTGCTAAAGTCGCTTGCGATAAGTGACGTCATTCAACGTCGCATCTGATTAAACTGTCTCTTAGCCTCGTCCATTCACGTGTTTTACGACTATCCATAACCGAGTTCATGGTTAGTTGCTATTTATCTTTGTACTGTGACTCCAAATCAAATGGTTGGCTAAAAGTTGAGTGGCTCTGAAGTTTCTCATCTAATTTTGAATCTCGGATGCAACACTGAAAACTTGTGATGTGTTTCTCCTTTACTATCAAAACCGTCCACGTGCCACCCTCAGAATCGCTTTTCCAACAATGGTGAGTGTGGCATGACGCTGAATAAATAATATGCTGCATTGTGATCTCGAGTCACGTGGTCCAGTTTGTGGCTGACTTATTTCAGTCCCGTGACATTCGATATTTTTAAACCAGATCGGTTGATTAACCCCCCCCCCCCGGGTCTTTTTAATGCAGCGTGGTTTGTGTAATGTCCCACTGCTCCTTTATCAATACACTTCCAGAGTATGTTCTAGATCGGACAGTTATTATAAATGATGCGCACGAGCATCATGTAAGTGGCTACAAGCTTGCCAAAGCAAGTGACTACTTTAAACGACAGCTCGTTGAGCTACGTCAAGGTGAATTAGAGAAATCTCAACGCAAGGAAGATATCGATGAAACCCGACGCCAAAATCGTCGTGCTAGGGCCAGAAGTTTATGCGACTTGGAGCTTCAACCGTTGGTTCTCAGGTATCCAGATGTATACGGATTAGAAGCTGTACTATCGTTTATACACTGTTGTGACAAAACACGGGCTACCACACTGAGCAGTCGTTTGACAACCAGCACTGCAAGTTCCATGCTAAAAGCCGGTTTGCATTTCCAGGTACCCGGTTTCATCAGTCATTGTCTGGAGGTTATTCAGAATACAATGAATGATTTCACTTGTTGGAAATTTTGGAAACTTTCAGAGGAACTAGCGTCACAGTTACCTGAATTCCAACAACTGACAACACGTTATGTTTTAGCGCATTTTCTCGAGGCCGGAGAAACGGAGGAATTTCTCGAGCTGACTGTAGATGAACTTAAAAAGCTCCTTCGTGAGGATGCCCTGAATTGTGCAAATGAGAAACTGCTGTTTGCTCTCATAGAAAAATGGGTTTATCATAGACAGGATAAGAGGAAAGCGCATGTTGCAGAACTATTGGAATGTTTACGATTGGGTCGTCTTACTCACGAAGATCTGGATTGCCTTTCTGCAAATCCGCTCATTCAGACCGCGTGGGTTGCCTGTAGTCCTGTGATATTGATGTCACGATTTTCTGTGGAAGAACTGGCTTCCAATCCTTCAGGCACAATGACACCACGTTCGGGGGATGAGACGGAGTTACATGCATATCTCCGTCGACCACGACTACCGCACTCGGCCATTTTTGTTGTTGGCGGATGGGAAGGCAACCAGGACGATCCGAATTTCGGACCGTCCAAAGCAATCCAAGTTTACAATTCACGGGCAGATACCTGGCGTCGGGTTGTCACAGAAGGCATTGCTCTGGATGAGGGACATGCTTATTCGGGTTGTGTACTCTATAAAACACGAATTTACGTGGTCGGTGGCTACGTTTCCAGCGGACCGACACAAACGCTGAAAGTATTCGAACTTACCAATCTAACGTGGAAATTTTTGTCCCCAATGCACGAGAAAAGGAACTACGTGTGTACATGCATGTTGGACAACGTTATCTACGCCATAGGTGGACACAACGGTAGACATAGGCTGAGCTCGGTCGAACGATACGATGTAGATCAGAATCATTGGGCTTTCGTATCGCCCATGCGTCAAGTACGTAGCGATGCCGGAGCGGATGCACTGCTCGGTCGGATCTATGTGGTCGGTGGATTTGACGGGCATCATTTCTACGATTCGGTCGAGGTGTACGATCCGAGAACAGATCAATGGTCCTTGGTTGCTCCGATGCACAATATCCGAAGTGGGGTCAGTGTGATCGTGTACGATCACTATCTGTTCGCGATCGGGGGCAATGATGGATTGCAACGATTGCGCACGGTCGAACGCTATGATCCGGAAACGAATCAGTGGCAAACCATGCCATCCATGATTCGTCAACGAAGTAACTTTTGTATTGCTATTTTGGAAGGAATGATCTATGTGATGGGTGGTTGGAGTGATGAAACCAATTCGACCATTGCGCTCGTCGAACGATGGACTCCGAATTTGTCCAGTCAGTGGGAACCGGTTAGAGAATTGTTTCTTCCGGCAAGTGCGAATTGTTGTTGTTCTGTTTCCGGATTGGATTTGGTCTCCGAGTTTCTCTCTCCGTGAATCCGTCTCGGAACAGTTACACCCACACGCACTCATACCGCACTGACCGTATGTGTTCACCTCACCGCAAATCCGTCCCGTCACTGGTCCCAAACAGAGGAGACTGTGAGATCAAGTGGTTGCATAACTTCGACACACATTCTCTATGTCATACGATTCAGTTTTTCTATTCTACCCCTACCATCCACCCAACCACACACACGTTTTGCACGCACACACCGAAATAACGGCACAGTGACTGCTTCATGACTCGCACATATTTAAACTGACCGAATCATGTTACTTGTGGACATATATACATATGACAAATTTTCTGAATTCGACATAACAACCACTTTCTTACTTTCTCATTTCACTTTTATCCAAGATCCGTTCTACGTTATTCTCAATCGGTGCTCATGCCTTATAACCGCCCCCAAAGTTCACCTCCAACCTCGACCTCACCTCCTGTCCCCTCTCGCTTTCATCAGCGTCTTTCCGGGAAGAATTCTGTCACAGCCTTTTTCGGAGCTCGGCTCATATTTGTTCACTTCTCAGTCCTCAAGTTTATTTGACCCGTACTTCATTAATCATTTATTTCTCAATTATTTTATCTACGTCCATGTGGATAGCATAGAGAATCGCCAAGTTGAGTTACATCCGCCTTATGTCGTCACACTTTCCATTCATTCGTAAATTGCATTATTTGCCTAAACTCGGTTACACAATACTACTGTCCCATTACACGTAACCAGTGGTCATACTGTGGCGGTTTTTTAGTTCATATTTTCTCTCTCTTGGACAGCTAATTCAATTATCCTGCACAAGCATTTATGCTTTCAAATATTTTTCATTCAACTATGTGCAAATCTGTGTGTGCGCGCTCGCTTATTTTCACCACCACCGTCAGCAGCAGCAGCAGCAGCAGCAACGACAAGCAACAGCAGCAGCATCAATCACCACGTGTATAGTACTGCTTATGCCCTGTGAATGGATAAACAACGACAGATTGTGTCTTCGGTCTTTGTTCCTATCCATTCAAAGTCCTGGGTTCCCCAAACGCACCCCGGAATCGCACACTTATTCATCTTCTCGGGTAAATCGGAGACGCACGCAGCGAATGGGAACCGCAAGCTATATTACTGTCCACTCTTTTTTTCTGTCTAATTCATTTCGGTTTTTATTTTTGATTTTTAATTCGAATTTTTTGATTTATCTGTTTGTCTTTCTGTTTCCCCGCTAGATTCACACCATAGTCCACTTGTGCTCATTTGGTCAGACGAGGAGAAAAGAGCTACTCGTCTCTAATGTCATCTATCTATCTATCTGTCTGCCTGTCTATCTCTCATGCACTATCTATTTTTGGTTTCTCTAACAGCTCATATGTTGTAGCTGCGTCAAGAGTTCCTCACAGGGAATTGCTTGGATACACATTGTCACAATGCACAAACACCTCTCCCTCTCCCCGCATATATATCTATACGTTTGGTTAGCATAGCTTACACACGATCAATTTATTTCTGTATCAATAAATTTTTCTGTTATTCTGCATTCAATCATGTTGACCTCTCGTTCTGTCAGATCAGTTCAGCAAGTGAATCGGCAGTCAGGTCTAGTCTTGCTCACGCATACTGGTACCTTGGTAGACTTGACCGCAATGTGCTCTCGATCTATGTATACTAACAGAAATTAAAGTCATCATGTTTTTGTGCCACTATCCACTCTGAATAGTGTATCATTCTCGTGACCTTTATTGATTGCGTATCGAATTCTTCCATCCTAAGCAGTACTTCAGTGTCAAAATAGAAACCCGCATGCTCTCCAATCGGGTAGATTTAAGAGTTAACCCTCTTCTCAAATAAAAATGGATTGGTAGTTGCGATTTGTTGTCAATATCCATGCGGCTAACGTACGGTCGTGCTTGATCTTCGTAGATTGCGGTGACCGGGGTTGTTATCGAATGAGTTTCTGTGACCCACCCTGTTTACCGAGGTCGGTAGTGGTGAGAAGCAAAATCAAAGGTGATCAAACAATGAGCTGTTGCGCATGCCTGAAAAACTCGAACAGATGGCTTGATAATTAGCTCGGGGTCAACGCGAACAATGAATAGAAAGAACCGTTTGGTGTGGCGTAAACAATAACTAAGACCGGTTCATGGAACGTTGACGTTTGCATGTGTACAGGTTAAAATATGGCGTGCATGATAGAACCTCGTATGGGACAAGTGTTAGGACGGAGTTCACAGAACTCGTCAAACCGCTCAAAGCTCCGCGTCACACCACAAGCGCGTTCGCGATGTCCAAGGCGAATCGATTCCGGATCGGATGACAAGGACCATTCAGACATCTGCCGTCTGATCGATTAGTCGGAGTGTCAAGGACGCGATCTGATTGGTACGTTATCTCGTCGTTCCCGTCACCTGATTAACCCACTTAGATTTACGTATTGCGTCATGATTAACTGCTGTTTTCTTTAGGCGGGGGTTAGTCAAGAGGCACTCGAATCGGTCGTATTTCTAGGCAGAACACAACGACAAGAACGATTGCGATTCGAACGAACCAAGATCTGGCCTTGATTCTGATGTAATAATCACGTGATCGAAACAAAAGAAGTAAATACCTCGTAGTCCTTCTGCACGAGTCAAATCAAAATACGGTAAATTATCAGCGTTTTTAACGAAGTTCAGTGCGGAAACCCGTATGTGAAACTAGTAAGAGATAACCGGGGAAATAACAATTTCATTCTATAAAAAGAATACCGTTCTTTTACGCTAGGTGATTATTTCCAGTCCATTTTGATTATCAGAGTCANCAAATGTTTATTATGGGGAACGCTTACACAGGTGACTGCTTTTCTTGTCCCAAAAGGTTCATCGCACACATCGATCCATTGACCAGATCAGGTCAGGTCCGTTTACAAGACTAGTGCCCGGTGCCAACGAAAGTCTAGTTTCTTGCGCAATCCAGCTCCAATATGCACCATGCGCTTCGACAGCTTTTGAATTTCTGGTTCCCTTTCTCTCTTCGGTACGATCCAGTAGGCGCCAATTAAGCGTCTGTCTGAAAGAGACTGGTGTGAACAGGAAACAGAAGACGGTCTAGACTCAATCTCAGTTTCAGTTTTTACAACCATGCTTTTTCGTGCGCCGGTTTTGGTTGCGGTCTTTTGGTGTTTCATTTGGATAAAAGAGCAGAATGAAGATTGAAATGTTGAAACAATGAGTGGATACACGAGCACCACTGTTTGCGACACCCAGCCATATCACTCAGCGTCTCTAACCACCGGTGACCATCATCCCGAGGTCTCCAGTGAAGGAGCCTAAAGGGGTCTATCTGACTTAGTCTCCTGATTGGGTTTTTCATACCCTCATGCCAGGTCTTAGCACGACCACACTTGATCTTTTTCCAACCGTTATCAGCCTTGACAAACATCGCTCGCCGTGTCAACCTATCTGACGACATGCGTAACACATGCCCCAACCAACGTAATCTATGCAGGTCGATCACTTGCTCCACTGGACGACCGCAAATACCTAAAACTCTACGCCTTACCTTAGTATTGCTCATCTTGTTAACCTACCACACTCGTGCAATGCTACGTAGACAGCGTTGTTCGAACACCGATAATCTATATTTATCCTGTTCCCGTAGTGACCAAGTCTCTGCACCGTAGAGCAGGACTGACCGCACTGCTGCGGTATACACTCGGCCCTTCACAGACAGCCAAATGTTGCGACGGCGCCACAAATGTCTAAAGTTGGCAAATGCCAATCGAGCCTTTTGCATATGCGCCGACACTTAATCTGTGACGCGTCCGCAAGGTGAGATATAGCTGCCCAGATTGCAAACTTTGTCTTCTTCCTGTACTAATTACCCAGTCAGGGTGAGACTGGGTGCTGGACCAACCCCAATCCTGTAGTAGCATTTTACACTTTGAAGGTGCAAAACGCATACCAGACATGGACACACTAGCACTTAAACTATCCAGAAAAACTGGAAACTTACCTGGATCTTCACTTAGTAGCACAAGACCAAGTTTAGTTGTGTAACAAGTGAAACTCGAATCAAACCCGAGCTGACTTCTACCAGTTGGTTTGCAGGAAGGATACAAATGAATTATAGGTTTCCGATTCCGTGTTCAGTCCTGATTACCACCGGATGATGTCGTTATCCCTTTATTTTACGCTTCTTCCTAGGTGTACAGAAATCCTGTGCTTCAATTGGGTCTTGTGGCTTGGCACTTTACCGTGTGGGACTTTCTTCTTTAGTCTCAGCTTTGTGAGGATGCAGAATGCTTTGACAATATTCATGATTGAGATGGTAAAGCAACAAATCCATGTGTGTGTATCTGGATGGCTCATCTCAATCATATTTTACATACTCATGCATGCATGCATGCTTCCATACGCGTATACCGATTATTAGGTCATAATCCAATACGTCCAAACACCATACAAATACATGAGTTCCATTTGCTGATTGGCAGATTTGAAGTTTGTATGTTGATTGTGAAAAGTTCAGTAGCCTCGGTGAGAAATTCGAATCCACTTATGGACGCCGCCTTAGAAACCCATTCGGTGGTTTTCGATTAATTCTGAGGAAACTCTGTCCGGTCAGTCAGCTCACATGCGAACTAGTGAATGCCATATGCTTCGGTTAGTTGGATGTGTAATTCGAATGTGAAAAGATCAGTGTGCTATCTGAGTGGCCTCGTCTCTGAACTGGTGGAGTGTGCGCTGCACAAGAGTTCATGTGGCATCCCCGCGTGGGTTCAAATTCCACTGAGGCTACTAAACTTTTCACAATCACCGTACATACAGGAGTGCCTACACCCATACCCATGCTTGATTGTGCATACCTTGGTTTATAATGGTAAGCATACATACTGGTCCCGGTGGAAGAACTACAGAAACGAGTGTGTCCACCTTGTGGCACCGGATGCTGGACGATCGTTCAAAAAGGGCAATTATCCCGCTCATTGACTTTATTTGTGGTACACCATAAGTAAAGTAAGTCTACCCC